ACTCTTTCCACTTTGTGGAAAGTGTACATAACAATTTTTAATGCTTTTCTAGTGTACATAACAATTTTTAATGCTTTTATGTCCTTCAGTCTTTCTGTCTCTACCATAGAGTGCCGACAGTAGGTATATGTTAAGCGGAGACATACTATGTCTCTCTTTCATAGCCTGACTTGCTTTATTCAGTAATAAATCTTCCATATCCATCCACTTTCTATCACATTCCAGGGCTGTGTTGTTTTTTATGGCTGTAGTATTCCATGAAGCTTCAGTCTTTCTGTCTCTACCATAGAGTGCCGACAGTAGGTATATGTTAAGCGGAGACATACTATGTCTCTCTTTCATAGCCTGACTTGCTTTATTCAGTAATAAATCTTCCATATCCATCCACTTTCTATCACATTCCAGGGCTGTGTTGTTTTTTATGGCTGTAGTATTCCATGAAGTATGCCACACTTTTTCAATCCATTCATCTCTCTGTGGACATTTGGGTTGATTCCATGTCTTAGCAATTGTGAATAATGCTGCAAAGAATATAGATGTGCAAGTGCTTTTCCAACCGAGTGTTCTCCTGTCCTTTGGGTAGATACCCAGGAGTGGAATTGCTGGATCATATGGTAGTTCTACTTGAAGGTCTTTGAGGAACCTCCATATTGTTCTCCACAGTGGCTGAACCAATTCACATTCCCACCAAAAGTGTAGGAGTGTTTCCCGCTCACCACATCCCTGCCAGCACTTATCTTTTTTTTTTTTTTTTAATCTTTGCCATTTTGACTGGGGTTAGGTAGTATCTTATTGTGGTTTTGATCTGAATCTCTCTTATGATGAGGGATGTTGAGCATTTCTTCATATGTTTTTTGGCTGTTCATATGTCTTCCTTGGAGAGTTGTTTATTCAGCTCATTTTCCCATCTTTTAATTGGGTTAATCTTTTTCTTCCAGGTTGGCTGCTTGAGTTTCCTGTGTATTCTGGTTATCTGTCCCTTATCTGAGGCCCAGTTAACAAAAATTCTCTCCCTTTCCAAGGTTGTCAATTCAAGGGTTGTCTTTTGCTGTGAAGAAACTTCTTAATCTGATGTACTCCCACCTGTCTATTTTGGGGATTATTGT